ACCCCCCCCCCCCCCACAATGCTTCCACTTCCAGCCTCCAAAAACAAACAAAACAATCAAACAAACGGAACTGCAGGTTTTCTCTGTCTGGCTCTAGACCTCCACCCATAGCCAGCAACCCTGCCACCTTTCCTGGCTGGATGTTACGTGGGCCATGGGTCTGGGCTCTGGTGCCCTGGGCTGTGGAGCCCAGCCTGGATTTGGGTCCTCTACATTCTGAGGGAACAGACCTTCCTGTAGCCCAGCGCTCCCTCCTCTCTCAATTTGCCTGCCAGCCTGTCGCCCCTGGGAGCTGGGTAGCTATTTTCATGACTTCGCCCTCCCTACTGTTCTCCAGTGTTTATTAAAATATATTTAATTTTACAAATTGAGCTATCAGCTGTTAGTGTGTACATTTTTGGGACATCCTGTATAACATTAATTAAATTAATATAAATAAACTAAATGGCTTTTCCAAGGGACATCTACATTATAAAAGGCCAGGGGCCCATCACGACCTCGCCGCTGCCACAGTGGCTGAGGATCAGGCCCAGAGAGAGAGGCAGGGCCTGACCCACAGCTGCCACGACTGCTGGCAAGGCCGAGAGAGAGAGAGAGAGAGAGAGAGAGAGAGAGAGAGAGAGAGGCGGGGCCTGATCAGCAGCTACAGTGGAGGGTGCGGATCAGGCCCGGAGAGAGGCCCGGAGATAGGCCCAGAGACACTGACTGGCATAGAAACCAACCAATCAGAACCTAATCTGGGTGAACTGCGAAGGCAGAACCTAAGGTGGGCGCTAAGGAGGGGTTTTAAGGGCAACAGCTGTTTTGTGTAAGGTGTAAGAAAATGGTTCAATTTTTTAATGACCAGTTTGGCAGTATAGTGCATATGGCTGGCTATCAGTCCAGATATAGGGATTATGTATTTTTGTCTGCCAAGAGCATCTCCTCCTGCTGAAAAAGGCTCCCTCCCCCCCATTTAAGCAATTCTATCCTATATAATCTATACTACTAAAAGGGTAATATGCTAATTAGACTGGGTCGACCGGCCAACTTTCAGATATCTGACTTCCTTCTGGACAAAGCCATGGTGGTGGGGGCCAAGGCAGAGGCAGTTAGGGGTGATCAGGCTGTCAAGGGAGGGCAGTTGGGGTCAAGATCAAGCCGGCAGGGGCTTAGGGGTAATCAGGCCAGGAGGGAAAGGCAGTTGGGGGTGACCAGGCTGGCAGAGGAGGGGAGTTGGTGTTAGGTTTAATGTAAGGTTTAATCTGAGATTTAAGATTTAATCTGACCAAAGCCAATAAATTGACCAAGACAAGCAGGGTAAGAGCGAAATATCGAGTTTATTGGAAGCTCTCGGGTGAGGTCCCACGGTCTGGGGGTGCAGGCCGGGGGAGTCACACCCGCCTATGCCTGGCAGAGATTTTTTATGCTGCTGTTGGACCAATCAGGCTTATCTGAGGTAGCTTGTGGCGGGTGATTGATGAGCGGGAAGTTGGTGCAGCTGCACCCTTGGCCATCTTGAGAAGTCTCCGGTGGTTATTTATTGGCCATCAGCACAACAGGATGCTCTGGTGGGTCGCAGGATGGCAGCTATTGTCCAGCAGGATGTGGCTCGGCAGTTCTGGGGTTGTTTTGTCCAACTCAGCTGGTGGGATCAGGAAAAGACCCTATTTTCCCAGCCCCAGACCTTACAGTTGGGGGGCAATAAAGCCAGGCAGGGGAGGGCAGTTGGGGGCGAGATCAGGCCAGCAGGGGAGGACAGTTGGGGGCGAGATCAGGCTGGCAGGGGAGGGCAGTTGGGGGCAAACAGGTCAGCAAGGGAGGGCAGTTGGGGGTGAGATTGGGCCTGCAGGGGAGGGCAGTTAGGGGTGATCAGGCAGGCAGAGGTGGTTAGGGACAATCAGGCAGGCAGACAGAGGCTGTTAGGGGCAATCAGGAAGGCAGGCAGAGAGGTTAGGGGCAATCAGGCAGGCAGGCAGAGTGGTTAGGGGCAATCAGGCAGGCAGGCCGGTGAGCGGTTAGGAGCCAGCAGTCCCAGAATGTGAGAGGGATGTCCACAGGAATTGGGCCTAAATTGGCAGTTGGACATCCCCCAAGGGGTCCCCGATTGGAGAGGGTGCAGGCAGGGCTGAAGGAACCCCCCGCCCCATGCATGGATTTTGTGCACCGGGCCTCTAGTTTTACATATAAGAATACAGATGAATTGAAACTTAAGGGTGGACAACTCAATTGGAGCAACTCCTTGGACACAGTTGTAAGGAGCATAAGCTCAGTTCAATTGGAGCAACTCCTTGGACACAGTTGTAAGGAGCATAAGCTCAGTTCCACTGTCTAGTGATTTGATTTCTTTATGCCTCAGTGTGATTAAATTGAAAAGAAAAATGGGGGGCTTGCAACCTAGTTCAGTATCTGGTTAAAGCTGTAGTCTTACTTCCCCATTCTGACTTAGTTCAGTATCTGGTTAAAGCTGTAGTCTTACTTCCCCATTCTCACTTGGGCGGAGCTGTGGAGCATGCCCCCAAGGCCCTGCCAAGACTGGGTTGGGTGGAGCTGCGGGAACCGTCAGGGGCCCACCACAGGAGGAGATATATAGATCAGAACCTCTGTATGAGTTCAGTTCAGGCTTTGGATCCGGAATTCCACTGGACTAGCAGATCCGCGAAATAAAGGTTTAACTTTCCTCCCTCAGAGTGCTGGCTGATCGTTCTCCCATGCATTCTGCCACACAAAATGACTTAATATGTATATCAAGCTTAGATAACTAACAAAGAGCAAGCACTCAGTAATTGTTGGTTATTACTATTGCTTAATTATGCTTTTGTATATAATTGTATTATAATGGAGAGTGGTGAAAATTTAAATTCACTTTATGATCACTGAACTTCTTTATGTTTAAACTCTTTCTGTTTATATACCATTTTCTCAGTAAGTGGGATTTAACTTATTCCCAGAATAACACTTTTTGAGGCAGAAAACTGCCCTTCTTGAAAATAAGAAGTTATCTCTGTGGAAAACATGAAAATCACCTTTATTTCTTTGCTAGATAATCTGATATATGAAATTGTGACAACTTAAAATATTTTCTTGTCCTTTCTGCAAATGAGGGAAAATATAAGTAAAGGAGTTGGCTATGTGATGAAAGGGGCCACATGCTAACCTGACAAGCTCAGGGAAGGCCTGCATGGCAATCTTGCAAACTCAAAGACCTAAAGTAACCACAAAGAATGGTCTGAAATTAAACTAACTAAAAGCAGTTATGGTGGGTAGTTACCTCCTAGGCTGATATCTCCCTGGACAAGGTCAACCTTTACCTTAACTGAGCCTATCTGTCTTTTTGCATCTATGATAACATACCCTTGAAATGTCTGGGTAACTTGTAACTTCCCTTTTTACCAGACCCCTTGGGGCACAACCTAATGTGCCTTGGTTCCAGAACAGAGACCATAAATTCCTTCATTGTTATTGTTATCATGTTAATTGTTTTTTTTTTAAATATGGAACGCTTCACGAATTTGCGTGTCATCCTTGCGCAGGGGCCATGCTAATCTTCTCTGTATCGTTCCAATTTTAGTATATGTGCTGCCGAAGCGAGCACTATCATGTTAATTGTTGACTGTTAACTATCCTGCACCCACCTAAGTAAAAGAAGTAATGTGTCTATCATTTTACTTTTTATCCAATCCCAGAGGTTTCCCCGCTTTGCTTTCTCCTGCCTCTCTAATCTGTCACCAGTAGATTTCATGTAACCCACCCATGTCTCCTCTTTTGATTGCAATGTATAAAAATAGGTGAAAAAACCGCCATTCTCCAGAGCATTACCCCAATCCTTTGAGATTCTGCTTCCCGGCAATTGTCAACAGTTTGGCTCAAATAAACTCACAAAAATTCTTTACAGGTTTGAATGTTTTTATGTTAACAGCTAATAGCAAAGGAAAAATAATGCGTATTACTAGTAATTTTAATGGTTCTTATTTTCCTTGCTACTCATTTCTGTTTGAAACATCTTTAAAGTAATTTTCAATAAGAAAAACATCCCTTTATTGTGCTTTTCTCCCATTATTGAGCTGTAAAATGTATCATGCATACAAACTTGTATAAAGAACATAATTTACTGATTAAGAAGGAGAATGAAATGAGAAATAAAAAGAAACTTAAAGGCTGGAAAATATACCATGCAAAGACTAACAACAATAAAGTGTCATGGTTATATTAATGTCAGAAAAGTACTCTTTAAGGAAAGAAGCATTAATGGAGATAAAGAGACACATTTCATAATGATAAAAGGGTCAATTCAAAAGGAAGATAATATTCCTCATTCTATAAAGTAGGTACTGTATTTTTTATTATTCTAATTTTTACAGGTGAGGAATCTAAGTTACAGAAACATTATGGGACCTACGCATTTAGTAAATACTGTATCCAGAACAAGCTTATGCTTTTAAATAGTATACAGTATTTGGGGGAAGTGGAACACAGATCATTTCTCTTTGGAGTTGAGATTAAAGAATTGTAGTACTCAAAAACAATGCCTCTCTTCTATATTCCTTTAGCGAATCATAGTAATTTTCCTACAAAGGCATTATTTAAATTTTAAACTTCAACCAGAATGAGGCCTTGTTATGTCATTTCAGTTGTGAAAGTAACAGAAAAACATTCTATGATAACATACCATAAGTGTAAAGGTGCATTTAGCACAGCTGTGGTCTATGATCCTAATAGAATGCTTCAAGCTACTTTCAAGAATCAAGTTAAAGTCATCCTTTTTTAGATTGCTATAAAACAAAATGGAAACTTTCTTTTTCCATTACTACTCAAACTGTTTCAACAAAGCAAGTACTATATTCCTGAGGGGAAGTATAGGAACAATATGAGTGAAATTTAATTTTGTCGGAAAAGTAAATAAAAAAAATTTCCAGTAAGTCATATTGCTTCGTTTTCTGGGAAATAACATTTCAGTGTCTGACACTCTTGGAAAAGGCTCTGGATAGGTTGGGAAACCACGAATCTGCAGGGATCCATTTGGTCCTTGGAATCATTTTCTCTACTTTGAAAAATATGTTATTAGTTATTTTATTATAAAATGAATACATACTGGAAAGGGAAAAAATAGTAAACTGACACACAATTTAACCAAGTGATCAAGGTTAATATCAGCAGAAATAATTCATGTTGATATCATGTACTCCTGATATGCTATGATGCAAAGAGGACACATCATTTCCATGGTATCTTCTTACAAAAACTCATAATTGTCATCCAATTACAATAAAAATATCAGATAAACAAAACTAAGGGACATTCTACAAAATATCTGCTCAGTACTTCTCAAAACTGTCAAGTCATTAAAAATGAGGAAAGAAACTGTCACAGAGCAGAGCAGACTAAGGAGCTATGATAACTAAGTGTAACATGGTATCTGGATTGGATTCTGGAAATGAAAAATGGAATTAACATAAAAACTGGTAAAATATGATTAAAGTAAGGAGCTAGTTGGTTTCTTAGTTTTGACAAATATGCCACGTTAATGTAAGATGATAACATTAAGATCAACTGAAAAGATATAGTATTTTGACAACTTTTTTTGTAAATCTAAAATTATTCCAAAATAAAAAAGCTTATTTAAAAATGTAATATGTGATTGTGATAGAAAAAAATAAATAAAATAAATAATCAAGAAAGGAAAGAAAGAAATGGAAGGAAGAGGAAGGAAGGAGGTAAATGTAAAAAGTTGAAAATTTTTAAAACTTCTTCAGAGGTAAACTATTAAAAGTTTTTTTGTGGCCCTAACCAGTTTGGTTCAGTGAATAGAGCATAGGCCTGCAGACTGAAGGGTCCTGGGTTTGATTCCGGTCAAGGGCACATGCCCGGTTGTGGGCTCGATCCCCAGTAGGGGGCGTGCAGGAGGCAGCCGATCAATGATTCTCTCTCATCATTGATGCTTCTATCTCTCGCTCCCTCTCCCTTCCTATCTGAAATCAATAAGAATATATATATTTTTTAAATGGGTTTTTTTTGTATAATTCTAGACTTTTCTTCTATGCATCTGGGCATATTCAAATATATATGATATTTTTTTACAGAGAAAAGATACTATTATGCATGTCTTATAACTTGATTTTTCACTTAATATAAAACAGCTATATTTTCACTAATTCACACATTCATTTAGTCAGCAAATATATAGTGACTGATTTTTTCAGGAAGGATGAGTATGTGAATGTGGACTTACTAACATTTCCTGAAGGTATTATTCTTCAAGTTATGGGAGGTATTAGAAAAGGAGTTGGGTGCGGGGAGAGAAGGAAAAGGAAGAGAGGAGTACATGGCAAGAAAATTTTAAGATTACTCTCTAATACTCTACATTTTAAAAAAAGACTGAATCTTTGCCTAGAGAGGGAGGGACAGGTGTTATTTGATATGCCCAGATTCCTTGGGTATGAAGACACTTCTACAACCCAAAGTCTAGTCATTTCACATGAAACAAATTAGACCTGTTATTGGAACAGATAGTGTGGAAAACAATTTAGCCTCTTCTGGATCATGAGGCATAAAGAACTGAGAATGTTCTCAGAGAGTCCTATTCCAGAACCAAGGGTAGAAGCATATAAACTCTGACTGGGACATTCTACTGAGATATAGCAAGAGTGGCATGCACCGGATATAGAAATGAGAAGGAAAAAAAAGATAAAAAACCTAGAGTAATTCATATTATCCAGGGAAAGTAAAGCTTCAGAAAGAGTAAATATTTGAAAACTCAAAGAGTATTGAGTCACTGAGATGTGCAAAATATACATCTTATCTGCAGTTTCCCTTTCCACGGTTTCAGTTAGTCGTGGTTAACCATGGTCTGAAAATATTAAGCAGAAAATTCAAAAAAATGAGCAATTCATACGTTTTAAATTGTGTACTATTCTAAGTAGCATGATGAAAGCTTGTGCCATTCTGATGCATCCCACCTGAGATGTGAATCATTCCTTTATTCAGCATCTCCATGCTGTATATGCTACCCGCCCATTAATCACTTAGTAGATTTCTCAGTTATTAGATTGATTGTTGTGTTATCACAGTGCTTGAGTTCAAGTAACCATTATTTTACTTAATAATGACCCCAAAGCACAAGGGTAGTGATGCTGGCAATTCGGATGTGCCAAAGAGAAGCCATAAAGTGCTTCCTTTAAATGAAAAGGTATGTGTGTGCAGTTTCAGGCATCAACGTGGGATGGTATTGGACTCATATAAGGAGAGGATTACTGTACACTTCTTCCTAACTAGAGCGAGGGTAAAAGGGTATCTGCGTAGGGTTTAAGGCTGGAGATACTGTGTAAAGACAGTCTAAAATTACAGGAGTTTTAGATTTTTTATAAAATAAAATGTATCATGTTTTCTCCTTTATATTTATGGCTTCTGACTCATGATAAGAAAGACTGCTGTTTTGCCTGGATAATAAAAATCTTCATTCCCCCCCCATTAGTTTTATAGTTCTAGTTTTTACATTTAAATTGTTGATCTCTCTGGAATTTAACTCAGTATAAAGAATGAGGCTGGGATTCAGCTTTATTTATTCTTTCCAAATGGCTAGCTAGTTCTTTCAAGATCATTTATTTAATAATTTATCTTATTCCCATTGATATAAAATGCTACTTCTATTATGTACTAAATGTCCACATATACTTTCTACCATGGTCATTGGATCACTCTGCGTTTCTGTGCCAGGACCACACATTTTAATATCTTATTACTGTTCATTTTTTAGAAAGTTCCTGGCTGTTCTTGAATATTTATTCTTCCAGATGGACTTCAGAATCATTTTTTAAAGTTTCAAAGAAGATTTGAGTCTAAAACCTCTGTAATTTTTTTTATTCTTTTTTTTATTGCTTAAATTATTACAAAGAGTATTACATATTTCTCCTTTTTTTCCCCCGCCCTTGACAATCCCCTGGCCTCCCCTACCCCCCAGTAACCTCTGTAATTTTTAAAAAGGCAAATGATGAATAAAAAAATATTGGCAACAAATATGATTTTTAAAGAGTTTAACATCACCAATCTAAAAGTATATAAAATACTTTCTTCTTTACATTCTCCAACATTGTTTAATTTTTTACAATGTGCAAATACCATTTTTTTCTACTGAGAAAAATAATAAAGATGTTTTTATTTAAAAAATAAAGACAGTAAAAAAACGGAGCAATTGAAAAGGAAGATTGCACTCACCTCAAACTGATGAAGGCAGGGCTATCCTGAGAGGAACACAGCTAAAGCTCTAGTTTTCCACATAGGGACAGATTTCTTGTTCCTTCTCATGGAGGATGAAGAAGCCAGCCTCCAGAAGTCATTTTGTTACTACATGGATAGCCAGTCACAAATGAAGTAGGCATCAGTGAAGGCAGAAAATAAAGATTAAGAGACAATAGTGATATTGAGCTGTTAAATTAAACCTCAGTTGAAATCTGACTTTTGGTTGCAAGAGACAATAGTTCTTTTTATTATTTAAGTTAGTTTCATTTTACATATAGTTGAAATAGTCTGAACTAGATGCTTCCAAGTTGGAGAACATCCAGTAAAGGTTGGAAAATGACAGTTTTCCTCCAATATCCAATTGACTAGACTGGGGACTACTAGTATGTATTTTGTGCACAGAAGAATACACAAAAGGGGTATAAATGGTGATGGACAGAAACTTGACTTGGGTTGGTGAACACATTATGCAGTGTACACATGATGTGTTGTAAAATTGTGCATCTGAAACCTGTATAATTTTGTTAACCAGTATCATCCCCAATAAATTAAATAGAACGGAAAAAAATTAAAAAGAAGACTGCACAAATCTGCATTATATGAAGTGCAATTTCCTGAAAGATTAGTAGAAGCATTATCAGTCATATGCCTGACCCAGATAACATGCAAAGAGTGGCTTGACCAGTAATGTAGGCAATAAGCTGGCACCTAAAGAGGTAGAATGCCTGGATTATATGATAAGGATATGTTTAACTTTATGCTGAAAGAGTCCCAATTTCTTTTTTATTTTATTTAATCCTCATTCGAGGATATTTTTCCATTGATTTTTAGAGAGAGTGGAAGAGAGAGGGAAAGACAGACAGAAATATCGATATGAGTGAAACACATCAATTGGTTGCCTCCTGCACGACCCTCCTTCCCCCTCCCAACCAGGGCCTAGCAGGGGAAAAGCCTACAACTGAGGTATGTGCTCTTGACCAGAATCGAACCTGGGAGGAGTCCCAATTTCTTTAGTCTATTTACAGTTTCATTTCAAACAGCCCCTTTCTATTATCCTAATATTTGTGTATTTGTATCTACAACCCCACATAACTCACACCATTCTAAGAAAGATCAATTAAATTAAGAGACATCAAAAAGTTTACTATTATGAAATTACAATGGAAAATTTACATTGGCTGCAGCCAGTTTAATGAGCTCCCTATATATCCTTCACCCTCCACATACCAGTATACATTTTCCTCCAACATAAACTATGGTAAATGTTGTTTTTTTAATTCTGCAGAGAGGAACCAAAAGAGATGAAGAAAAAAGATAAAGGTGATGATATAGGGTGTGGCCCCAACCTTGGGGACTGAGTGACATCTTGTGGTTAGAGATGGGTGAGCGAGCTAGAAACTACAGGGAACATTCAAGAAAATGCACAGAAAAATCAGTTTTAGTACCCAGGCAACACAATGTTACACAGAGTAGGGAGGCCCTTTCCTTTGTCTCTTCATGGGACCTAGTACAGGTCCAACACACCAAAGACTGGGCATTTAATTTATTTTTAATTGAAACAATTTTTGAAAATATGTTTTTATTGATTTTAGAGAGAAAGGAAGAAAGAGGGATAGAGAGATAGAAACATCGATGAGAAAGAAACATCAATCGCTGTCTCTTGCATGCCCCCTACTGGGGATTGAGCCTGTAACCTGGGCATGAACTCTGGGAATGGAATTGCTAACCTCCTGGTTCATGGGTTGATGCTCAACCACTGAGCAACATCAGCCAGGAAAAGATTGGACATTTTAGAATTATCTAGAGACAGACCTACTTAATACTATAGGTGGTGTAAGTGGTGATGCTTTTCTGAGTAGCTTTACAGGCAAAAGATGTAGACATGTGAAATTGAGAAAAAGAGGAAAGATCAGAGTAGACGTTGAGTGGACACCACAACTGCTAGATTAATTTGTAGTTACATATGAGGCATCCTATTGCTGCAATCTCCTAACAAGCTTTTGTATTACATACAGATACACACACATATTCATGAAAAAATGTATTGCTTGTATGAATATGTATGTAGAAACACAACATCATCTACAGATTAGTATTATAACTAATAAATTTTGCAAATTCATTGGGCAAAAAGTTAATGTGCAAAAATCAATTTAATTTCATTATACTGTCAACAAGAAACCTTAAATTAAACTATAAATAGATATCATTTACAATAACATAAAGCACTTAGGAATTAATCTAACAAGACCTCTACAGGAAACTATCTAATATATATTTTTTTAAGTTGAAGCAGATGTAAACAAATAGTGGTATTTGCTAAGTTTATGAACTGGAAGACTCAATATTATAAAAATACCAGTTCTCTCCAAATTGATTTCCAGATGCAATCTAACCAATCAAAATCTCCACACATTCTTTGTCCCTTTTTTTGGTGGAAAATTAAAAGCTGACTCTAAAATTTGTAAAGCAGAAAACCAAGATGGCGGCATAGGTAAACACCTGAAATTGCTGCCTCCCACAACAACTTCAAAAATACAACGAAAAGACAAAACAGACATCATCCAGAACTACAGGAAGGCTGGCTGAGTGGAAATTCTACAACTAGAAGGAAAGAGAAAAGCATACCGAGACTCAGAGGAGCTGTGGAAGTAAAGTGCAGAGGTACGGAGGCTCGAGCAGAAAGGGGCTGGTACCTGAGGACGTGGCTGTCTTTTTGAATTGGGAGGGAGTCACAAGCTCCCGACTGCTCTGAACTCCGGTTCTGGGAAGTCTCTGGGGACCCAGGGCTCATACGAGGAGAAACTGGACTGTCTGGCAGCAGGCAGAACTTGGAACTTGAGGGCGGCTTTCCCTCAGAGGTGCCTGGAGCAATTACCGGGACACTGAGACGTGAAGCCCCTTAGGGCAGGGCTGAGGATCAGCCATAGCTGCTTGCCCCACCCTGTTGATTCCGAGACCCCGCCCCACCCAGGCTGCTTGCATATGAATGCCCTGGCCCTTTGCCACCTGAAAATTACCTAACAAATTGCAGCTGTTCCAGACATACCCAGAACTTCCAAGAGAAGGCCCAAGGCCCCACAGCAGCTTGCATTGCTTCACAGCTGGGCCTCATCTGGGCACCTCCAAACCCCAAACAAGGAAGGGGAATCTGCAGATCTCTTCGTAGCTCCTTCTGGGTAGCCTCAGGCAGAGGCTAAATTAGCACCTCCTTAGATCCAAGAGCCAGTGTAGCCAGTGGTCAGAGTGAGACCATCCAGATTACAACTTCTCAGATCCATAAGGTACACACTCAGGGGGCAGACTCAGTGAGCACCAAAGCCCCACTGAAGCAAGTCTTGTCCCAGAAGGGTGTCTTCAGCACAGAAGTTCTCCCACCATAGACACAGCTGATTCTCACAGCCAATTGGCCTGGAGGTCAATTCCTCCTAGTGATACCTATAACAATCAAGGCATAACTACAACAAGACTGTGCATAAAGCCCGCAAGGGGGTGCACCAAGAGTGTCCACCTCAGGTAATTGGGGAGGCTGAGCCACTGGGCCCTATAGGACACCTAGCACACAAAACCACTCTACCAACACAGGAAAACATAAAAAATGTGGAGACAAAGAAACAGGTCACAAATGACAGAAATGGAGGAAAGCAAACTACTGGATATAGAGTTCAAAACCACGTTTATAAGGTTTTTCAAGAATTTTCTGGAAACTGCCGATAAATTTAGTGAGACCCTAGAGGATATGAAAAAAGACCAACTAGAAATTAAGCATACACTGACTGAAATAAAGAATAATATACAGAGGTCCAACAGCAGACAAGAGGATCCCAAGAATCAAGTCAAAGATTTGAAATACGAAGAAACAAAAAATACCCAACCGAAAAAGCAAAAAGAAAAAAGAATCCAAAAATATGAAGATAGTGTAAGGAGCCTCTGGGACAGCTTCAAGCGTACCAACATCCGAATTATAGGGGTGCCAGAAGAAGAGAGAGGGCAAGATATTGAAAACCTATTTGAAGAAATAATGACAGAAAACTTCCCCTACCTGGTGAAAGAAATAGACTTACAAGTCCAGGAAGCACAGAGAACCCCAAACAAAAGGAATCCAAAGAGGACCACACCAAGACACATCATAATTAAAATGCCAAGAGCAAAAGACAAAGAGAGAATCTTAAAAGCAGCAAGAGAAAAACAGTCAGTTACCTACAAGGGAGTACCCATACGACTGTCAGCTGATTTCTCAACAGAAACCATGCAGGCCAGAAGAGAGTGGCAAGAAATATTCAAAGTGATGAATAGCAAGAACCTACAACCAAGATTACTTTATCCAGCAAAGCTATCATTCAGAATTGAAGGTCAGATAAAGAGTTTCACAGATAAGAAAAAGCTAAAGGAGTTCATCACCACTAAACCAGCATTATATGAAATGCTGAAAGGTATTCTTTAAGAAGAGGAAGAAGAAAAAGGAACTCTTACCATTTGCCACAGCATGGATGGAACTAGAGAGCATTATGCTAAGTGAAATAAGCCAGTCACATGTTATTTGTTGATTTATTGATGATAGCCATTCTGACAAGTATGAGGTGATATCTCATTTATGGTTTTAATTTATATTTCTCTGATGATTAGTGACATTAAGCATCTTTTTGTATGTCTATTGGCATTATATATGTCCTCTTTGGAGAGGTGTCTATTCAGGTCCTTTGCCCCCTTTTTAATTGGATTGGTGGGGTTTTTTGGTGTTGAATTTCATAAGTTCTTTATAGATTTTGGATATAAACCCCTTATCAGATGTATCATTGGTTAATATGTTCTCCCATTCAGTGGGTGGTCTTTTCATTTTGTTGATGGTTTCCTTTGCTGTGCAAAAACTTTTTAGTTTGATATAGTTCCTTTTTTGTTGTTATTGTTGTTGTTTCCCTTGCCTGAGGAGACAGATCAGGAAAAATATTGCTATGAGAAATGTCTCAGATTTTACTGCCTATGTTTTCTCCTATGATTTTTATGGTTTGAGTCTAACATTTAAGTCTTTGATCTAGTTTGAGTTTTTTCTTGTGTATGATGTAAGAAAGTAGTCTAGTTTCATTTTTTTTTTTTTGCAAATTTATCGGCCAAAATTTTCAACATCATTTATTGAATAGACTATCTTTACACCATTGTATGTTTTTTGCCTCCTTTGTCAAATATTAATTGACCATAAATGTATGAGTTTATTTCTGGGCTCTGTATTCTGTTCCATTGATCTACATGCCTGCTTTCATGCCAGTACCATGCTGTTTTTATTACTATGGCCTTGTAGTATAGTTTGATATCTGGTAGCATAATTCCTCCAAATTTGTTATTTCTCAAGATTGCTTTGGCTATTTTCTGGTTCCACATAAATTTTTGGAATATTTTTTTCTAGTTCTGTGAAATACACCATTGGTATCTTGATAGAATTGCACTGAATCTATAGATTTCTTTGAGTAGTGTGGACATTTTAATGATATTAATTCTTCCTACTCAAGAAATACTTCCACTTATTTGTATTTTCTTCAATTTCTGTCTTAAGTGTCTTACAATTTTCTGAGTATAGGTCTTTTACATCCTTGGTTAAATTTACTCCAAGGTATTTTATTTTTTGGATACAATTGTAAATGGGATTGTTTTAATTGCCCTTTATGACAGTTCATTATTGCTGTATAAAAATGCAAATGATTTCTGGATATTTATTTTGTATTCTGCTGCTTTACTGAATTAATTTATCCATTTCTAGTAGTTTTTTGGTGAAAGTAGGATTCTGTATGTATAGCATCATGTCATCTGCAAATAATGAGAGTTTTATTTCTTTCTAATTTGGATTCCTTTTATTTCTTCTTCTTATCTGATTGCTATAGGTAGTGCTTCTAGTATTATCCTGCATAATAAAGAGGTAATATGCAAATTGACCATCACTCCAACACACACGATGGCTGCCCCCATGTGATCAAAGATGGCCACCACAAGATAGCCAGCAGGGGAGGGCAGTTGTGGATGATCAGACCAGCAGGGGAGGGCAGTTGGGAGGGACCAGGCCTGCAAGGGAGGGCAGTTGGGGGCGATCAAGCCTTCAGGGGAGGGCAGTTAGGGGTGACTGGGCCAGCAGAGGAGGGCAGTTGGGAGTGACCAGGCCAGCAGGGAAGGGCAGTTGGGGGGAACCCAAACCTGCAGGGGAGGGCAGCTGAGGGGGACCCAGTCCTGCAGGGGAGGACAGTTGGGGGGAACCCAGGCCTGCAGGGGAGGGCAGTTAGGGATGACCAGGATGGTAGGGGAGGTCAGTTAGGGGCGATCAGGCCTGCAGGGGAGGAAAGTTAGGGGTGACCGGGCCTGCAGGGGAAGACAGTTGAGGGGGAACCCAGGCCTGCAGGGTAGAGAAGTTGTGGGGAACCCAGGCCTGCAGGGGAGGGCAGTTAGGGGCAATCAGGCCTGCAGGGGAGGGCAGTTAGGGGTGACCGGGCCAGCAGAGTAGGGCAGTTGGGAATGACCAGGCCATCAGGGGAGGGCAGTTGGGGGAAACCCAGGCCTGCAGGGGGGGGCAGTTGAGGGGGACCAGGTCCTGCAGAGGAGGGCAGTTGCTGGGGGAACCCAGGCCTGCAGGGGAGGACAGTTAGGATGACCAGGCTAGCAGGGGAGGGCAATTGGGGGCAATTGGGTCAGCAGGGGAGGACAGTTAGGGACGACCAGGCTAGCAGGGGAGGGCAATTGGGGGAAATTGGGTCGGCAGGGGAGCAGTTAGGTGTCAATCAGGCTGGCAGGGGAGTGGTTAAAACAGCCGTGGGCAAACTATGGCCCGTTTGAAATGAATAAAACTAAAAAAAAAAAGACCGTACTCTTTTATGTAATGATGTTTACTTTGAATTTATATTAGTTCACACAAACACTCCATCCATGCTTTTGTTCCGGCCCTCTGGTCCAGTTTAAGAACCCATTGTGGCCCTTGAGTCAAAAAGTTTGCCCACCCCTGGGTTAGAGGGTGATCAGGCTGGCAGGCAGAAGCAGTTAGGTGCAATCAGGCAGGCAGGCGAGTGGTTGGGAGCCAGCTGTCCTGGATTGTGAGAGGGATGTCCAACTGCCCGTTTAGGCCTGATCCCACAGGGCAGTCGGACATCCCTCAAGGGGTCCCAGATTGGAGAGGGTGCAGGCTGGGCTGAGGGACACTCCTCCATGCACGAATTTCATGCACCAGGCCTTTAATGTTGAATAAAAGTGGTGAAAGCAGACAACCCTGTCTTTTTAAAAAATAGATTATTTATTCTTGTGAATTATTTATACACATAAATAGCATTTACCATCTTAACCATTTTAAGTGTACAATTCAGTGGTACTAAATAAATTTATAATGTGCAACCATCACCACCATCCATTTTCATCACTTGTAAAACTAAAATTCTGTCCTCATTAAACAATGATTTCCAATTCTCCCCTGCTTCCCCCCCCCGCCTTGTCCCCAGCAAGCACCATTCTACTTTTTGTTTTTATTAATTTGATTGCTATAAATGCCTCATATGAGTGGAATCATACAATACTTCTCTTCTTGTAACTGGCTTATTTCACTTAGCATATTGTCCTCAAGGCCTATTCATGTTGTAGCATGTGTCAGAATCTCTTTCCTTTTTAAGGCTGAATAATATTCCATTGTATGCATATACCATATGTTGTATATCCATTCATT